AGAACATACCAGTTTTAAGACCAGTCGCCGCCGTGTCTACGTCGAGATCGAGAACGGCATCGTATTTTCTACAACATTCTGTTACAAGCTGGTTTCATATAAATACCGGAAGATTTTTATTGAGGAGTTAGTCAGAAGAAGATCGGAAAACACGATTTAATTGTAACGAAACATAAATAAATTATTTGTAATATAAATTAGGATTAACACCTTGGCTACCGCCCATTTAAACTGATAACTTGTAATTTTGTACCAAATATTTTGTTATCAAATTTTAAGCTTATCTTCTTTATTATGTCAAAGACAGTGTAAAAATATTATCACAAAAAATACTTTTGCTGAATTTTCAAGTTTGAAAAAATGTGCGCCGGTGACTCACACGGTACACAAATGTTGCAAAAACGTGAACTTGAAATTGAGACCGTGTGAGATGCCGGCAAACACATATTACACATACCTAGTCCATATCCATATCACTTCTAAGTAGATTACGTTACATACCGACTGCTTCCGTCATTTGCTATTCATTTGCAATTTAGAAGTGGAATATTATGTGTATTGAAACGCTGTTCTAATAGATTTTGAGTGTTTATTGTTTCGAATTGTTTTCTAAAATAACATCAAGTAGCTTCAGCGAATTTTTGAGTTTTTAGTAAGTAAAAATCACACTAAATAATACATTCATTTTTTGATATCACACTTTTTAGTTTCTACTATGTCTGAAAAACAAGTGAACCAATGGCTGGCATGGTATAAAGAAATCCCATCGGACGAGGATAATACTTCTGATGTCGAGGAACCATTTGAGGACAGTGGAAGTGAATATGGGATGTTAGACGACGATACTGAGGAGAGCAGAAAATGTGTGAACTTACAAACAAATAATAGGACAGGAGAACCTGTCATAAAGCCCGAAGCTATTGTTTTTTACAATAAATACAAACAAGGTATCGATATATCTGACCAAATGGCCAGCTATTATAGTGTGTTAAGAAGAACCATCAGATGGTACCACAAAGTAGCTTTGGAGTTACTTTTAGGAACCTCGATTGTTAATGCTCATCTTCTATATAAAACAATTACGGGTAAAAACATTACATCTAGAGATTTTAGACTACAAATTATTCAAAGTTTTGCATCCATTTCAAACGAGAAGAAAGTTGAAAAAATCCCAAAACATGAGCTGATCGAAGTACAAGAAAAAGACGAGAGAAACAAAAAGAAGAGAAAGCGTTGTATGACATGTTACAATAAGTTGTTAGTTATTCATGATAGAAAGTTTGCACAGAATAAATGCAAGCAGGTGGCAACGTTTTGTAACAGTTTTTCAGGAAATCCATATATGTGTTTGGACTGTTTTAACTTAATACATTAAATGATTGTTAAAATTTCATTATTTTTTGTAACTTGGTATTTTGTATTTGATTTTTTAAGCAATAAAGTTTTTTTTTTACTTTATTATTAACCTGAATTCATTAAAAATCACATTTTACTTTCAATCTCTAATATGCAAGTTATATTACACTTTTTCAAAAACCATGGTAACTATAAGTTCATTACTTTATTTTGAAACCAATACGAGAAACTAAAAACTCTCGTTTTAACCCAGGCTGTTTTAGAGCATTTTAAGTCATTTAATAACGCTGGATGCCGGCGTCTCACACGGTACCACAGTCATATTTTGTGTGAGATGCCGGCATCTCACACGGTAGCCAAGGTGTTTAAAGACTTTAATAAATTCGTAATTAGTTATCGTGAGTTTTAATAAATTAGAATATAGACAATAAATTAGAATAAAGACAAATAAATTAGAACTATATAAATTTAACAATATACATATTTATCAATTGTTATTTTATGCATTTACTTTATGTCAATTCTCAATTTATGCTTTAAGTCCGTTAACAAAATTAAAATCTAAGTTTGGTTTTTCGCAATATTTTCAGGTAGTGTAAATCTTAAGCGTAACCATCCCTGCAAAAAGTTTTATTCTCAACAGCAGTCGTTGAAAGATTAATGGTGCGCCTAAACAACCTTTAGGGAAAAAACATAAAAGATGTATCCATTGACATCTCTTCGTCTTTTTATTGAGCATTTAATTCATCGAGATAGAAAACTAAAAATAAAGGAGGAAAGTTGATCATTACGTGTTTATGTTAAAAATAAACATTTTGGCGTTGGGAAGTTGTTAAAATAGTGCTTTAACGATTATGTTTTCTTTAAAGAGGCGCTTTTATGCCTTACTGTTTTTTAATACAAATAAAATTGCGGTTTATCCATTGCTTGAGTTTTGTTTTTGACTCTGTCAATACAACAACAATTAAAATTTTTATTTAATATACACGAGATCGGTAATTGTGCTAATTAAGGCGAGGAATAATAAGGCGATGATTTTGTTCTTCTTTAAAGATCATTTCAGTTAAGGACACTTGTAATCAGCGTGAGCCGTCCTACTTTCGAAACAACTGCTGCAAAGAATTTTTTTAGCTGCCATTTCACCATCGTTCATTTCTTCATCAAGTTTATATTGTAATTGCTTTCTTCGCAGCAGTATCAGCAGTTTCATTACCTAAAATCCCGATGTGTGAAAAAATCCAGATTGTTGTTACGTCTGATCCAGAAGAAGCGAGACAGTTTGTTGTTTCATGTATGGCATGAACTAATGGATGTTCGGAATATATATTTTTAATCGAGTCGATGAAGGACATCGAATCTGTACATATTGCAGTGTTCGTGGCTTTAGTTTGATTTCATAGACATTTTATTGCTTGCAGGATGGCGAGGAGCTCTCCCCTATGGATTGAGATGGATGGTGGAAGGCAGAACTTCTGAATGATACTATTTGCAGTTGTCATAGAATATCCGACTTCTGTCTTAGTTTTGGATGCATCTGTGTATAGAATCTCGTCATATGAGTTTGTGATGACCAGCTCTAGGAAAGTTTGCCCCAGAATTGGGCTGTTGGTTTTATTTTTGTGAAAATTCTTAAGCAAAAGGTTAATTTTTGGAATGCTATTATTCCAAGGAGGAGTTGATTATAGAATATGGGTATCTGTTATTGAAAAATCAACTCTTCTTCTGACATACTCTAGCAAAGTATGTCAGAAGAAGTTGTCTGCGGAGCGAAAGGGGAAGTTCACTTGTTTCACAGCGAAAACTTTCGGCAGGGCTGGATCTGAAAGCTCCGAGGCATATTTGTAATGCGGTATTCTGGATAGTGTCAAGAGTCATTAAATAAGTCTTTAAGGCTGACCTATATACAAAGCACCCATAATCTAGTCGAGAACGAATGAGAGATGCATATACCTTAATTAGGATGTCTTCATCAGCTTCCCAGTGATGGTTTGCTAGAGATTTTAATTAATTTATTCTAGCTAAGCAATTAGATTTGACGTTTGTAATCTGTGGTTTCCATGTTAGTCGACTATCAAAAATTAACCCCAGTAATTTGTGTTCATTAGCTACCGTGAGAGAAATACAATTGAATGCAATTTGAGGTAATAATACGCTACATGTTCTTTGATTGAATTTGAGTACTTTTGATTTTTCAGCAGAGAAATTAATACCAAAATTTATAGTCCAAAAAGTTATTTCATTTACTGCTTTTTGGATTAAGTTTGTAGTTGTTAACGTATCTTTACTGCGGCAATATAGAATCAGGTCGTCAGCATATAAGTTGTATTTTACTGGATTGTAAATATTCTTGCAAATTATCATTGATAGTTATTATAAATAAAGTGGAACTTAGAACTGATCCTTGGAGTACTCCGTTTTCCTGAACGTAAATTGAAGAAGCTTTTCCGTTAACTAATACTTTGAAGTGGCGTCCGGAGAGAAACTGTTCGATAAAAGATAATGTATTTCCCGTAATATTGTATTCTTTTAATTTGGTCAATACAGTAGAACGTAATAGAGTATCGAAGGCGCTTTCGATGTCAAATGATGTTGCTATTAAATCTTGCTTGTTTTGGAAAGCGGTTGTGATTTCTGTTTGTAACATTACTAAGTTGTCAGCCGTGCTTCGGTATGGACGGAATCCGGATTGAGCTGAATCTTAAATGTTGTGTTTTTCTAGAAACCTCTAGAAACTCTAGAGAGCACATAATGCTACTCTTGATCAAACTTATAATAAACATATCGATAGTAAAATTAGAAGCAGAAAAAAAAAGCACAAGATGTAGCCAGAGCAAAAGATGATTCTCAAGTATTGGTAGGTTGTTTTGTTTTGCAGGCGATCCTTTCTACACCTTGTGGAGATGTTTTAAGATTTTACTATAACCTGAACTGCTTCAACTTTACAATTTTTCAGATGATACAAAAGAGTGGCTACTGTTACTTTTGGCACTAGGCTATCTCTAATCGTGGCTCAAACGAAATAACTACGTATTTGTTTGATTATCTTTCAACTCGTGGTAATGATAAAGACGTTATATTTTATGGCGACAATTGTGTTGGGCAAATAAAAATAAATTTATAGTTAGTATGTATCTCTATGCAATTGCAAAAATTAGTATTAAATTAATCACACATAAATTTTTAACAGTGGGACATACCCAAACTGAAGGGGACGCCATACACGCAACTATTGAGCAGCAAAAGAAGAAAATATTTAAAACAGGTCCCATTTATGTTGCTGCACAATAGCCTGAAATCCTTATAATGTAAAGAAAAAGTCAACAGAAGACTTTTATGACTTTAAAAATCTCATATAAAAAACTGGAGAAAATTTTACAAATAATACAAAAGATGAAAAGGTAGTCTGGAATGATCTCCAAGTTACTAAAGTTGTTAAAAGGAATCCTGGATTTTTCTTCTATAAAATAGATTATAATGCCGATGAGTTCGACGAGGCCCATTTTAAAACATCGACAAGAGGGCGTTCAGTAACTGTGGAAGCTGTAATCGATTTAAAAAAGGTGTACATAAAGCTACCATCGATATCCGCAAAAACCAAGCAACACCTTTTAGTACTGTGCAATAAAAACTTAATAATAACTTAGGAGAAGCAGAAGGAGGAGGAGAAGGGGAAGGAGAAGGAGAAGGAGAAGGAGAAGGAGAAGGAGAAGGAGAAGGAGAAGGAGAAGGAGAAGGAGAAGGAGAAGGAGAAGGAGAAGGAGAAGGAGAAGGAGAAGGAGAAGGAGAAGGAGAAGGAGAAGGAGAAGGAGAAAGAGAAGAAGGAGAAGGAGAAGGAGAAGGAGAAGGAGAAGGAGAAGGAGAAGGAGAAGGAGAAGGAGAAGGAGAAGGAGAAGGGAAGGGGAAGGAAAAGGAGAAGGAGAAGAAGAAGGAGACGGGGCAAGAGAAGGAGAAGTGAAAAAGAGTTTTTATCAACTTTCGTTAAGAAGAGTTGCAATTAGTTGCAAAAGTTATTATTTTTCCATCTACCCTCCAAATGGAACGCTCAGATCGTCGTATTCATATGATAAAAATCGATAGATATTAATTATGTGTTTTTTGACATTGAATAAATATCATTTCGTTTTTTACAAGATAGAAAATTTTTTCTTCCTTAATTAAATCAAGTAGCTTTATATGTGGAAATAAAAATATAAAATAATTTTAGTATTTTATGTGTAATCATCGGAGCGTTACACGACGTAACAATATTATTCCCTGAAAAGCTTTTATGTCATAAATGCAGCATGATATTTTTTTTCCCTTGTATTTTCTGTTAGTGCATCACAAGTTTTAATTGTACTAAACTTGACTGCTTTAATTACGTCATCTCTACATTAAACAAACCGTATTACGCTTTGTGCTGTTCTGTCAGCAGGTATATTTATATGTAGCTTCCAGCTAATTGTAAATACATGAAAATCTTAATTAAATCACGGTCCATTGAGCGAATCTCGATGAACGAAAATACTTTCAAGGTTTTTGAATTTTCTTGATTCAAGGATGCTATCCAATTTCCAATATTCTCTTCAAACAAAGTATTGCGAGATTCAGAGAATGTTTTTCATAAAGTACGTTGACAGAATTTTAATAAACGGTTTTAATACGTAGATAAGAACAAAAATTAGTTTACTTTCTGAAACATCGGGTTGAAAATGTGTGTCAATACAGACACACATACACACTATGGTCATTAGGGTAATATCTGTTAGATTTTAGCTTTACCTCGGTAAAGATGTACTGCGGTACCCGATAGTATTTCATCCTAAATCATAGTAAAAAATTTTAATGTGGACACCGCGATGATAAAAGAGAAAAGATATCGTTTAGAAAAGAATTAAGAAATAAGTAAGTCTTCTAAGCTTATGAATAAAACTACAACGAAAATGATCAGAGAGGCGACTGCAGTCGCGGATTCGCTCTCTACCTTAAATACTTAGTCAGTACATCTTCCTAAATGAATACACTTAAGCTAGGTATAAAAAACGCCTCTTTGAAAGACGAAGAGAATGTTTAATATGGCTAGTGTGACATGTACCACAGCAAATCTACATAAAACAAAAGTCAGGGTACCGTCTAAACCCTAAGGTCTAAAAAAGGCATCAGGAGAACACTTTTATCCTCATAAAATAAAGAGTCACTAAAAAACAACGACCTGTGGCTATGTCACAAAGGTATTAAAGATAGCAGTGGCACGCAGACACCATCCTGATACAATACTAGATCAGGTTCAAGCAAACCAATTATTACAAACAGATTACGTATCTGATAATGAATAGGAGTACGGCAGGGATGTTTTTTGTCTTTTCTACGTTTGGTAGGTACTGCTTTTCAATGTTTAATCCGAAAGAATTTTCAGAAATGCACTTTTTGAAAAACAAGAAGGAATAATTCTAAACGGCACAGTCATTAATAATTTGCGTTATAAGGACGACACGCTATTATTGCAAGCATAACTTGACAAGGTCGTTGAGAGCTGTAGGGAAACAGGTCTGGAAATGAACATACGAAAATCAAAATACTCGTTATAAGCAAACAACCGAATATAAAACCGTCTATATAATATAAATAGTACCAACTTGAGCTAATTGATCAAATTGTTTACCTGAATATCAGTTAAATTGTAACGCATAATGGTGAAATTATATCCACCTGCTTTGCTGCTACGTACCCTTGGTCTTAATTTAAGCTGTCGATTATTTTACTGTGGATGAAAGTCGCCTTAAAGCGTTGGAAATATGATGCTATAGAAGAATTTTAAAAGCTTCTGGGTGAAAAAGATTGAAAACTACACAATACTAGAACAGCAAGACTACTAAGATTATAAAAAGTATCAAGAAAAGAAAGCTGAAGTACTTCGAACATATTTGAGAAGTAACAAGTATGGGTTGCTACAAAATACAAATGAAAATAGTAGAAAAACACAGTTCAGGTTGAAGAACATCTTCACGCTTCATGCGAGATTAGTGAGGTATTGACGCAAGTATACTATTAAGGGTGGCAGTGAATAAAATTAAAAAATCTATAATGGTAATCAATGTTCTGAACGGACATGGTACATGAAGAAGAAAAAGATCATCAACAAACTAGAGCAAACAGTGACTAAGACTCCTATTGGAAGTCAGAATTAACTTGTGAAGTTTCACGAAACATCGTTTAACGCAAGGACCTTTTAAGCAAACTTTGCTACTGTGTATAAAAAAATGGACAATTGTGGTAACGGGTAATATGAAGGGCCTGTGAGAGGGTGCAGATTTAAATATAACGGATTACAATAATACTCATGTGTCTCACCTGCGTGTCCGACTAATAAAGCAATTATCAGAACCTATTTAAAGAAACAAAGTAGAGACCTTAAAATGGAAGACAAGTTGTTGGAAAATAGAAATATTGGAAAGAACGCATAAATCCTAGTCTAACCGATCTACCAGGTCTCCTAAAAAGTAATGAGAAATTCTCATATTAAGTCATCTTACAGGCTTGAAAAGGTATCCTTTAAAATAATTAGAAACTTTCAAATCTCCAAATCTTCATCATAGTAAGACAGCTTTAGAAGAATATACTCTTACTATGAATAGGTTCGATGTAGCGTTGATACAAGAGCCCTGGATTTGAAAGGACAAGACAACAGGTGTATCCAGTACTGTGAAGAGATTATATATTGACAATGTGCCTAAGTCTCGAGAATCTGCATTACAGGCAGAAGACATTAAAAAACTGCCAGTAATAAATCTTTGTTCCATAGATATATAAATTTCAAGTAAGGTAGTATAAAAGAGAAAATAATCGTATCAGCCTAACTTCTATCTGATGATTTTAAATAACCACCAATAAACCAATAAGAAATTTAAACAGCTAGTGAGAGAGAGAGAGAGAGAGAGAGAGAGAGAGAGAGAGAGAGAGAGAGAGAGAGAGAGAGTCATTTACTACAGTTTGTCGTGGAGCACTGTTTAGACATACTAGACTGTGGAAACAAACAAGCTTTTATAACTTTAAAACAAAAGGACGTAAGTGATGTAACAGTGAACACAAATCACGTGGCTACAACTGTTAAGAAATGACATTTTTTAGATGAACTGTCTTGTTTCGAGCATTGACATCCTCATCATACTTTTCTGTTTTCAATAAGAGCGTGAGAGTTTCTGCTCCGTATATAATAATAGGAAAAACGCATTCCGCATTCAAAAATGTCTTCTGTTTCATAGCTATCGGGATGTTGCTCTTAAAGATGTCTCTTAGGGAACCACACGCCGCCCAAGCAAGTGTTATTCGTCGTTGAAATTCGCAGGTCTGGTTGTCCTTGCCTATTTTGATTGCATGACCAAGATATATGTACTTTTTTGTCAATTCTACCACTTGATTTTGGATGATTAGGTGTTCGCTGGGAACTAAATTTGTCATAAATTTGGTCTTACTGATGTTCATTTTTAGACCTATTGTTGAAAATACGTTTTCTAATTCTTGTAGCATTTTTTGTGCTTCACCCAGATCTTTGGTAATAAGTACTATATAGTGTGCAAAACGCAGACAATTGAGCATTTCTCTATTTATTTTTATTCCTCTATTATCCCACTTTAGCATTTTAAAGGCGTATTCGAGGACCGTTATGACCGTTATTTACACGCATTGTGGCGTTTTGGTATAATTTTTGTACTAACTTTGTAAGCCGGTAATCTATTTTACCATTGTTCAGAGCAGTTATATTGCAGTCTAATTTCACAGTGTCGAAGGCTTTGTAAAAGTCTATGAAGTTAAGTATCAGTGATCTGTTATATTTTACCGACTTTTCTATTAAGGTTTTTACTATTTGTAGGTGTTCGTTTGTTCCGAATTTTGAACGGGAGCCAGCTTGTTCTCGGGGCTGGTAGAAATATAACTTTTTCTCTAGTCTTGACGTAATTATTCGGGTAAACATTTTATAGATGTGGTTAAATAAGCTAATTGGTCTACAGTTTTCTAGGTGCGCCTTGTCTCCTTTGTTGTGTAGTAAAATTGTTACTGCATTGTTTCATAATTTTGGTATGCAACAATCTGTTAGACAAAGGTTAAACAACATTTTTATTTGGTTGAGAAGGGCACGTCCGCCCATCTTTATAGCTTCTATTACGACTCCATCTTCTCCTGGCGCTTTGTTGTCTTTCATCTTTCATTCATCATCATCATTGCGTCCTGGATTTTGCTTAATGTGATCTCTGACATGAGCTCTAAACCTTGGTTGATCATTTTGCGTGATGCGGCGGCTTCCAAGTTCTTTTGGTCTTCTCTTTGGCTTGTGTATAGTTCTTGATAGAAGTCTTAAACTACGTGTAGTACTAAATAGTAAAGAATTATAACAATAAAGTACCCTTGTGGAATGAAAATCTATCATATAAATAAACAGAAGTCACATGAACATTTATTCTTTTAAAAGATCAATTAAACTCGATATAATAAAGAAATAAGAAGAACAATAAGAAAATCGTGGAGTAGGCATTGCGAGAAGATAGAACGAACTACAAAAAGGTCAAGGGTTGACTTCCTGTTTGAGGGGATACTGGCATGTAAGAAAATAAGTGATAAACCAGGACAAAATCAAATACCAAGAAACTAATTTAAGCAATATCAAGCACGGGTTAAGGGCGAAATTTATACAAAAATTTTTACAGAAGGAAAATAAACTTTTGTACAAGAAACTATGCATAGTACTACCGGCTAACTTAGAACTGGGTGACATAACAAAATCATAGAGGCTCATGAAGGTGACTTTAATACCCAAACCTGATTAAACTGGACAAAAATAGCTAAATTGTTGCATTGTTTTTAATGCAACAAACAGCCAAGTCCTGCCTTCATTGGTTATACCGTAGACAGCATAAGATTACTGTTGTTGTAAAAAGAATTTGTTGTGATTCAACGCAACAGTGAGTCAAGTCCACCTGCGTCTATGAATGCGTTAGTTTAAACGTAATAATATTTTGTTAGATGTAAGCCGTTGTAAATGTTTCAGTTTAAAATCTGTGACATTCGTGTTCAGTTATGAAATTTTATTAGTTAATGTGATA